GAATTTCTAGGGAAAACACTCTAAAACCTAGATAAAACCTAGCACAAGTCCTGCAGGAGGTGGAGAGGCAGGGAGATGCAACCCTTCAGAAATTACCTTCTTTTCATCTTGTAGAGATACTCTATGGAATTTGAAAGGACTGAAGTCTGTATTCAATAGGGCTGCCCAGGTAATAAACCAAATGATTCTTCTGTGAGTTACTTCTTTTGAGCTCTCTTCCCAAGACAGTGCTCTGTACACAAGGGGGTTCTGTAATAATTATCCCCAAGAACCCAGGGGAATAAATGGTGATTGTCTGAACAAAGAAATAGATCCTTGTGCCATCATTTCCAAAACTGACAGGAAGCCTTACTTGAAATAGAGGAGTTTTTAGTTATCATATTCTTCTAGCACTACGAGATTGAAGATAAACACAAGACTGCACAGACTTTCTTGCCTTCCGGCTTATAAGAGCTACCTGTCTCATAACTGGTAAAATAAACAGTTGTGGTACTCCTGGGTTCCTTTCCTCAGCTGCAGAGAAGGGACAGCAGATGTTCTGTGAAATGAAGTCCTTCGTGATTATGGGATTGCTCAAAGGGCCATAATATCTATCTACCCCCAAGAGAAAGAGTCAGACAAGCAAGCTGGAATACTATTCCTATTTCCCATCAGCACAAATGGATATCATAAAACTGTTAATAAACCATGCCAAATGGAGGCAAAGAACTAGATGCAAAACTGACAGAAGGAACTGATACCTGTGACGTGACGGTCTGAAAGATCATATATAGAGAACCAAGGAGAAAAACTGTTCCATTTGACAAAGGCCCACCTTCACCACCCAGCATTTTTGCCAAGCTAGAGGGTGTCAGGAAGAATGAAAATGATGAAAAAGCTAAAAGGCAAACTGAAATCTTGGAGACAGTACGTACTATTTGTACTATCCTAGAAGGTCTACTCAGTATCAGTTCACAACATTCTACTCCTTCACAATTATGTACTAACTTTTACACTCAAGTACAGAAAAATAATTCATCTCATCATTTACTTGCTGAATTAAAGATTCTAAATATCTTTTTCGTGCCTGGGACCAAGGCACCAAATATAAACCCTCTGTCTACAGTTCAGGTTCTAAATATAGCCAAGAATTAAGATATTCCTGTTTCTGCAACCTAAACAATCTAATGGAATCAGTTACTGTTTTGCATAGATGACACCTGGTATTTGCAAATAAAACATGAAACATGAAATCTAACCAAAATAAGCATGAGACTGAAGTTTCCAGCCATCCTACTTCATCCTCAGTAAATGTATTATAGCTTTGCATCACAGGGTGGATTTTTCACATTTCTTATAGACTTCAGCTTAGAAGCTGTCTGAGAGAAGGTAAAGTAAACAGAAGAACAGCACTGATAACTTTGACTTCAGCGAGTGGTTAAGCCAGTGGAGTGAACATGTGCATTCACTGAGAACACTGTCCCATTGCTTGGATTTTCAGCCTCATGCTTTTATTGATCAGTGCACCAGTCATGCCAAGTGAAATCAACATTTGCATTGTGAGATACAGCAAGGTTTAGGGGGAACACCAATGTCAACTGTGGAAAGGACAGAATCTGAAATGGAGTAAATACAACTTATTCCCACTGTGCCAGTAAGATCTTTCCTCATTATGCTTGGAAGCTAAGGATAGTCCTAGTATACAGTATCCATGTTTACAACTAGTTTCAAAATATACTCCACTGCAGCACTTTGCTGGCATTGTAATTAATGCTTTATCATACATATTATACTAGAGGTAGAATGCAAACTCTCCTTGGATGTATATACAGGATTTGGGGGAGTTGCTCAAATCTTAGGAAAAAAATTCTGTACTGTGAGGGTAGTGAGGCACTGGAACAGGTTGCCCAGAGAAGTTCTGGATGACTTATCGCTGATGTTGTTCAAGACTAAGTTGAATGGGCATTGAGCAACCTGGTCTAGTGAAAGGTGTTCCTGTCCATGTCAGGGGGATTGGAACGAGATGACATTTAAGATCCCTTCCAACCCAGGCCATTCTCTGATTCTCTGATTCTCTGATTCTCTGATTCTCTGATTCTCTGATTCTCTGATTCTTTTCTTTTATATCTTTCTTTTTCAAATACAGCCTAAAGAGATAAGTATAACTGTACATGCAATCAAGGACTTCTCTCTTCCTTTTCTAAATAATGCATGGTCAGAAAGGGGATGGATTCTGTCCCTTCCCATACTCCAGAGCAGTCAGCATTGCAAAACAAGCAGTCCCACTCTAAAGACTGGCTAACCTGTGTGCTCTGAGCAGCCTTGGAGGAAACCATTTCTCCTGAAATGCTCTACAATGAAGAGTCATGTTTCCTCACAACTCTGTCCTGCCAGACTTACAGACCTCTGAAACAGTTGGCCGTGGCAGTCCACAAGATGAATGCTGGAGAATTTTCAGTGGTTGAGTTGCTGGGCAAGACTGAGGATGTGAACCATTCCTGTGAAAAGCCACTTCTGACTCTGAGTCCCTCTGTCGTGTGCTGTGTGTTGGGAATTGCATTTGCAGATTTTACCTTTCTGCAGCTGCACAACTCCCATCTGTTTCACTATCATGTGCTGATGGCATAAGCAAGAATGGAAGAAAGTGGTCCCCATACTCTCCTTACCTGCCTGATGTACTGTTTCTTCCCTTGCTGTAGTCCAAGTGGTCACATCTTCCCAAGGTGAACGATACAGGGACTTGAAGCAAGTTAATTTTTTTTTTCCTTTCTCCTCTGGATTAAATTTAAATCATGCCTATTCTTTTATCCAATTCACCAAGTACTTCCTCAAATGCTACTGCAAACATAGAGAAGGGGACAGCTCAGGTGAGGGAATGAGTGACTGTGAGCTGGGCAGGAGAAAAGGGAGAGAGGTATGTATTTCAGAGGCAGGAGCATCTTGTGGTGTGTTAAACTTATTGTGAAACTACAGCAAAGTCAGCAACTGTCATCATCATGTCTGAATGGATAACTTTCATCCTGGCCCCTTTATTTATAGTGCAACAGATTCTAGCCATAGTATATTTTTAATATATAGCTAAAACTGTGTAAAAAATGCTTCACTTCAGGTATGTGGGTGGAATGAATGGGCTTACAGCCCAACAAATACCTAAATATGGGTAATTTGACTCATTTCTGAAACTAATAAATTTCATTGTGTTTTTTTGGTTATACAGATATTTCTAGAATCTCTATCTTGATTAAAAGAAACAAATGTTCTTTTGTTTCTTTGCAGTCATTGCACTTGCTGAAGCAAATATCATTCACAGGCATGACACAGCTATCTATGAAATAATTTAACTGCATCATGCGCAGTCAGCAGAAGTTCAGTACTGTAATTTGGAGAAAGTGACTCCGTACTGTCACTCACTCTCTGAGCTACATATTGTGCTGCAACACATTTTCCTTATTTCCAATCTGTTGTAAAAATATGGGCAGTTTTCCAATTATGTCAGAGTATCTCTTGTTAACAACACAGGTTTACATCTGATAAGAAAAAAAGGTGTGTGGGGTTTTTTGTGTGTCATTTTAATCTGTAAGAGCAGCTATAAACCATAAGAAGTAATATCAGTAGCATAAGCAGGTGCACCCACCATGGATAGTTAAATGGTTCTTCATCGTTTGATTTGACCAAACACTCCAGAAATTACTTGATTCTGCTCAGTGACAGTGTAAATGGGAAAAGTAGTAATTTCAGCACTAAGCTGAAATAACCACCAACCTTGAGTTTTGAAGCAAGAGTTCGAGTTCTGAAGCTTAGTATCCTTGCCATGTGCTGTGTGAAAGCTGTCTAGAAGGACACTATTACAGAATAAAATCTTCAGGAGTTTTAGCAACCATGTAAATGCAGACTCTCACAGCTGCTGCCTGAATGCATGCAGGTGGAGTGGCACATCCCTTGTTTGTCTGTGCATGGTGTACCCAGGTGGCAAATCAACCAAGTTTGCCTTTCCCCAGCACTCCTGGCTGTAGCAGGATGCCCTGGAGGTGTGGAGCACAGAGCATGCTGCTCACACCAGACCATTTTCTACCCACTTCTGTTTTAAACCAGGTTTCTCTCCACAGTAATCTGTTAGTACTTTTTCAAAGGCAAAAGTACTAAATTTGTTCTAATTTATGTGTTTGTACTAGCCATTACTCTGGGAAACTTATAGTTGTTGTGCAAATATGTGAACCATTAGAAGGATCCTGATATCTAAACCTCCCTAAATAACATAACTTAGCAATAAATCTTTAACTTCTTTTGAAAATTAGATAATGCATGGTATACTACTTCCAGCTGCATATTTCAAGTCACCAGAAAGAGAAATATCTTGACCTAATAAAACATAGAAAAAACTGGCAATGAGCAAGAGAAAATCTGTGACAAGAAAGTTGTCTCAAAGTTGGAGAAGCATTTTAGAAATACATATTTATCATTCATTTTATTTACAAAGAAGTAGCAAGCCTCTCAGTTATGACACTTATAACAATCTTGGCTCTTAACAGACAGCTATTAGTGCCTATATAATATCACTTACATTAATTTCTTTGGTCCAGCACTGACTAAAGAAGTAAAAAAGTAAAAAAGATCAGTTTCCAGCTCATGTTTAAAGTCATCCCACTGTATTTTTAGTACAATGGAAAGAGCTGTGATAGTCTTATGGCAAGGAACAACTCGGTCTTTCCCAAGTGCTACACAAGCTGTGTGCCTTGCTGTTCAAAACAGTGATAATAAACAGTCCTTTGAGCCCAGCCAAAGCGTTAAGAATAGGCGTGATTCAACAACACAGTAGTGTGTGTCACTAAAATGTGGTCTTTTAGAAGCTGCCTTTAGCACAGTAGAACTATTACTTGGACAGCTCAGTTGATGGTCATGTGCTTTTGTTGCCATGAGCTGTAAAAATCAGCTGAATCAGAGATTGCTGTAGAAATGTGAATGTCGTTTATGACGGTCTGTAGTAATTCTGTACATCTCTTATGTCTGTGTTCTTATAGCCACTTGGGCACTGAAGTAGCTGAAATGAGAAAGAGGCAGCAGTCACAAAATGAAGGAACATCAGCTGTGTCTCAAGCACCTGGAAACCAAAGGCCCAACAACACATGTTGCTTTTGTTGGTGCTGTTGCTGCAGCTGTTCATGGTATGTCCTGTAGTATATTTGGTTCCATATCTACCACAGGTAAACAATGAGAATGGAAACTGTGAAGCACTGGGAACATGCAAACTTGTGGGAGAGGAGGCACAATTTAACTTTTTACTTAAAAATTTGATTTAAAAATTCCCAAATTTGGTTGGACATCTTCTGAGGGGGAAAAGGAAAGAATAGTAAGTTCAAGCTATATTTACCCTACTTAAGCAATAAGTGAATGAGGAAATTTCAGTTGTAAAATTCCTATGTGTGAATGAGAGACTTGATACTGAATATTTTATAGTTTGCATCAAAATATTTTTTTTCTGCTTGTACTTTTGATATTGCAGTTCTCTGCATTCAGAAGGATAAAAAGGAGATGGTCATAAATGTGAATATGTGGTATCCTGTTATACTACTTAGTTATTGAATAATACATTTTCTATAAATCTGAAAATACAAGCCTTAAATTCCACTTTAAAATGGTGTAGCATAATTTTAGTGGAAGAAAAAAAAGGCTCAAAGATTGTGGCTGCTTGTCCCTTCTTAAACAAAGAGTTCACTTGAAATGTCAAAAATTTAAAGTCAGTTTCAGAAATAGCTTTAAATTCTCAGTGTCTTGAGATGCATCAGGTCTTTATTTCTTACTTTTATGAACACAGTATTGAAATGCAAAGTTACAGACATGCAGTACTGTTCAGAGCCTGTGCATCCTATTGCCTAGACAGTTCAGTTTTTCTGGACTGCTCATTCTTCTGTGTATCTGTGTTATTTTCACTTGAATCAGCCATCTGGCCCCAATCTAAAATCTATTTGCCCCAGAATATTTTAAAATACATACCAGCATTTATGCACAAGGTACAAAATGGGACAGCTTTTTTCCAGGATGCCACATCCTGGAAGAAGTAGCAGGGTGTTCCTGCCTTGGCTGTTACTTCCAGTTTCATCCAGAGGCAGAGGATATTTGGAGCAAGGATGGGAAAGAGCTCATGCTTTCACTAAGTTACTTTGCAATATGTTCAATCCATATTGCAAAAGAGGTGGAAGTGTATTAAATAGGATGTAGAGAATGTTTTTCCACTACTCTGTCTGCTGTGGGACAAGGGCAAAATGTAAGATTAGTGATACTTTCACAGGCTAGAGGTTCGTTTAGCTCAGTATCCTATTTCAGGAAGTGACCTTTATTGGATGCCACAAAGAAAGGATAAAACAAGTAGACATGCACGTCTTCAACCTACCCACAGCAAAACTCCTCACAACTTCTGGCACTCTGCAGCTTAGGGAATTTCTGGCCCAGAGTTCATTTCTAACCAGTGTGGTTTATAGCCCTTGATTGATCTTTCTTTCATTAATTTGTCAAACCATTTTCAGAAGTAACTTCTTGACCTCATCTAGACTTTTGGCAGCTAGGATTTCCTGTAGCAATAAATTCTACAACAGGCCTGTGCACTCCATGAAGTATTACTCCCTTTTATTTGTTTTACTCTACTAGATACTACTTTCATTTGATGCCTCCTTGTTGTTATGATTGTGAACAACAGTGACTTATTGTTCCCAGGATGGTCAAGATTTTATAGAGCTCTCTCATATCTCCCATCAGCTGTTTTTTTCTTTCATAGTCTTCTCTATATTAGTCTCTGTGATACAGAAACTGACCCAGACCATGATTTATCATTATCTGTCCTATATACCCACCTACCTCATGTCTCTGTATCTTTCCTATTCCCCTATCTCCTGTCTGAAGTCTGTGACTAGATCTTGCAGTAAAGACATGGATGCACCATGTTTTGTGTTTGCTTTTGACTTTTATTACTAATTCCTAGCACTCTGCTTGCTTTTTAACAACCCCAAAGATGTTTTCATAGAACTTTCCACCCTGACTACATCTCCTTCCTGAATGGAAATAAAGCTCATCATTGTGCATGTACAGCTAGGGTTGGCTTTTGCCTTGCATACTAGAATATGAATAGCCATGAAAGTATCAGTCAAATTTCTAAAACCTAAAGACAACTGATTTTATTTTGTAAGCATGCCGTATCTCAAGAAATCTTATTTAACAACTATATTTTTAAGTTTTATGAGCTTTGTGATACATGGAGTGCCTCCACTCCTTAGAATGGAGAACAGCTTATGCATAATAAATCTAAATTAGAGCAATTGCTGATTTAAAACATGACATATACCTTCATCTGCTTTAGTAATTGTTTTTGCTGTCTTTCAGGTTTTTCAGGGTTTAAGGTTTGTTTGTTTTTTTTTTTTTTGTAAAGTAGATTAAACTGAGCATGGAAAAAATCCTGTCAATTTAAGCTAGTTTCTGGAATTAAGTCAAAGAACTGGTCAAAGGGGATAGTTACATCACTTGCATTTACTAAAATCAAAAAGCTAGAAAAGGTAATACAACTTTTTCAGCTGTATCTTCTATGATTTGGCAGTGTAAACTCCATTAGTGGAGAGATGGGACAAAACTCTGAAAAAAGCTGTATGACATGTTTTATAATCTCACTTGAGATGAAGTCATTAGTTGTAGTGCCAAATTCATTTAGTAAATTTGAACTGTGCAGGTAGAGTACAGATTACTGTTCTTGCCTCAGTTGTGTACTCTAAAAACTACAAAATGAATTAAAAAAAATGTAGCAAACTTTATTATTCTCTCATATATAGAGGATTCTATGAAGTTAATTCTCTAGGTTAGTTCTCTGTAATAGGAAATCCTAATCAACAATTGTAACAAGTTCTCTGGACCTAATGTAATTACATGATTAGTGATGAAGACAATGCTTTAACTGTCAATATGAAGATTAGAAGAATTTTCTTCTGCTTTTCCAGCTGTGTGTGTGACTGAGGACAGTTCTTACATCACTAACCCCTTATTGCCTCAACTTCCTCACCATTCATTGAAATGTGCAGGTTTTAGTAAGAAATTTTCACTTTTTCCTGTTTGAAGAGTTAGTTCAGTAGTTCGTATATCCACACAAATCATTAGAGTTCTAAAAATATTTTTGACAGTTAAAGCATTGTCTTCATCACTAATCAATCCAGCAACAGTTCCAGACAGGTATCTCTTGAGAAATTCATGTTACTCGAATACTAAGACCTCTAGAACTAGAGAAAGCATGTAATTACATGTAATTTCATTGCTGAGCACAATGTCATATGGTATGGAATATCCCTTTGGTCAGCTGCAGTCAACTGTCCCAGCTGCATCCCCTCCCACCTTCTTGTGCACCCCCAGCCCGCTCGCTGTCAAGGCAATATGAGAAACTGAGAAAACCTTAGTGCTGTGCAAGCACAGCCCAGTAGCTGCTAAAACATTGATGTGTTACCAACTGTTTTGGTCACAAATCCTAAACATAGCATCATATGGATTGCTATGAAGGAAATTAACTCCATCCCAGCCAGACCCGGTACATCTATTGGCACTGATAATTGTTAGGACAGCAAATTGCTCAGTTTACAAGGACAAAGCAAGACTGATTACCAAGGTTTGCTCAGACTGGAAAAGATGGAGATAAACAGGATTATTAAGATGGCCATTTTATTTTAATAGGTATGCTCAGGACATTGCCCAGCTAGCTTAAGTTCTGAACTTATTTCTGAGCATCAGTAGTGAAGGAAGCAGTCCTCCTCAGTGGAGAAAATAAAGTGCTTTGGAGGTTCCCAAAACTTGTCCACTTACACCAGAAGCAAATAATATATCCTTGTGAAGATCTTCTATAGGACCTTCCTCTCTTCAGTGACCAAATATAGACCTTTGCCACTCACTTCTGGAAGTCTGCCTCATTAAAGCAGCTAACAGTTAAGTACCAGTCAGGTAGCCAAGGTCCTGGACTGAATCTAATCCCATGTCTTAATTTTCTGCAAAACTCCATTCCAATGGAGGACAGAAGAGAGTGCTTCCTTACTAGGTATAGTTTCGAAGACTTGAGTAGCCTAAGAGTTGCAAAATTTGCAGTAAGACTCCTAACGTGACAGTTTATAATTTCCTCAATTATACTTTCTCCAGAGAGTTGCTCCAGTGTATTTAGAACTGTGACTTTATAGTTTTGAGCTCAGCTTAGCAAGGTAAGAGTAGTAAGCCTGCTATTTCACTTCCCCAACCTTATTTAGCAATCCATTACTCCAGCTTCCTGAGCAGACATGAAGCCAGTTGTTCTCTTGCAAACAATTGTAAATCACATTCTTCAAAAAACTCTCCAGATGCTAGCACAAGGAGGTTGGCTTTTCTGCCAAATTTATATTGCTTCCTCCTTTGTCTCCCACCCAAAGCAGGAGACATATCTTTTCATCCTTTCTTCCTTTCATAAGGTGCTCAGTGAATCTGAAAACGGTGGGACACTGAAGGCTCACAAGGGATCTAACATCTACGCTGCAAGAGACCTTAGCAGTATGGCAGTCTGGGGGACATGAAAAGGCTTCCAGGGGATAAGTGAAGATGATGGCTTAACTTTCCTTGTAGCTTGATTTAAATGAGTGAGCCTTTACCTGAGAGGGAACCATTAAAACAACTGCTTAAGACTTGTGGAAAAGAGTTTAACATATACAAAAGATGCCAGGGAAGATAAGGTATGTGCCATCTTGGCAATGAACAAGAGTTACTCTTGGCAAGAAACCTCTCTCCTCCAGTTCTTATGACTTGTCTATGACTGCTGTGAGTTATGTCTGAAACTTCTTCCTGATGACGTCCTTACACAAATATTTTTCTTTATTAACAGGAACATTTTCCTTGCATGGGTTTAGCAATTTACTTGGGCCTACCAGAAGATGTTTCTGTCACTGGTACCATGAATATGAGATGACAGAAACAGTTCTAAGGAAAGGTTTAAATTACATTAATTCTTTTCTCTACAACGTTATCTTACTGATAACAAACAGAGTGTGCATGGTATTCTAAATGAAAAAAAAAAAAAACAACAAAACCCCCCACTTTTTATTTTTGCTCTTCCCACCACTCTAGTACTTTGAGAGGAATAAATTTTTCCTGGCATATTCAATGTTAGTTTGCTATCGAAAAA